AGAGAGAGAGAGAGAGAGAGAGAGAGAGAGAGAGAGAGAGAGAGAGAGAGAGAGAGAGAGAGAGAGAGAGAGGAAGAGGGAGAGAGAGGAAGAGAGAGAGAGAGAGAGAGAGAGAGAGAGAGAGAGAGAGAGAGCTTCCAGAGAGAGAGGAAGAGGGAGAGAGAGGAAGAGAGAGAAAAGAGGAAGATGGGAGAGGAGAAGAAGAGAGAAAAAGAGAAAGAGGGGACTTCGAAAGATTGATGACGAAGGTTGGAGATCGGATGAGGTCCCGGGAGGAGGCGAGAAGATCTTTGGCGAATGATGGGGGAGCAAGCCACGCCGCCCTGACTGTGCTCGACCGCCCCACCGGACGGGCCAGGCCAATGGGGTCGACTAGTCTCGCCGAGGAGCTCTGCTTCAGCGAACTCACCTCGCAGCGCCGCTGCGTCTCCGAGGCGACGCCGCCGCACAGGATTGTGCACGTCAACGCAGCGTGGTGCGAGTGCACCGGGTACACGCGGGAGGAGGCCCTCCAGCAGACGCCAATGGTACTGACTGGACCGGAGACGTGTCCACAGACGCTGCAGGCACGCGTTGCCCCGCTGGCCCAGCCCTCTCCGCCCACTGATCCCTTCGAGCGCTCGCGCATTCCCGCCAACGGCTGGTTGCCTCCGCCGCTCTCCCCCGCGCGAATCTGCAGGCGCTGCGTGAGGCCATTGCGGCGGCGCGTCCCATCGTGATCCGCATCCTCAACTACCGAAAGGACGGATCCAAGTTTGTCAGCGACCTCTCTGTTGTGCCGATCCATGACCGCACCGCCGGCGCAGCGACGCACCTGCTGTGGTTCCTCGCCGATGCGCAGCAGTCGCGGGTGGCGCTGCCGGCCACGACCGCGTCGCACTTCGCGCTGCCCGCCATCAACGCCAATGTCGGCTGGCCGCCCGGCTTGCTTTCGCAGCTCGCGTCTGTCGACGGCGGGTTTGGGGCTCCGCCGGCGGCGGCGGGCGGCGGCGGTGGCGGCTCGCTTCCCGTCTCGCGGCCACCGTCGGCGGCAACGGGGCCGGTGCTGCCGGTGCGGCTGCACGAGGCACTGCAGCACGAGGTGCCATATCCGCAGCTCGTCACCGAGCGCATGCCGCCCTACAAGATCATCCACACCAACGCCGCTTGGCGGCGCGTGACGGGGCACGGCGCAGGCGACGATCCTTGCCTCCGTCCCTGCTGCCGTGCCTCTCTGCCTCTGCCTCGCCGCTCCTCCCTGTCGACTCTCTCCTCTCCCTGACCGCCTCTCCCCTCACTGCTTCCTCTCCTCCTCCGCCTCCTCCTTTCCCCCTCTCCCTCACCGTGCGCCCCTCGTCTCCACCAGACGAGC